CTTAACATTAGCAGGATAACGACATAGGGTGGTGGTAACCACCGTTCCTAACTTAGCGAACACACGGGGATACTACATTTCTGGACTGGAGACCGAGGATCGTAGATGGTGGCTTCATCCCAGAGTTGACCCAGCAGAACCGCACAGAACAGCCCCAGCTCTCCGTCCACGCCCCGCTTAGAACCACTCCGGCACCACCCCAGGCCATGCCTTCCTTCCCGATCCTTCGGGAAGGCCCGAACCCCAACCACGTGGACCCCCCTGGTGGCCCTGGCCCCCCTTTATCCGGTCACGTGTCCTGTTGGGTTCACGCAGAGTGTCACGGCCCGACACGACCCCCGTGACACCTGCCTGCAGCCCCCATTCTACTACACTACACATGTGTGTGTGTGTACGTCGATGTGTGTGTGTTAGTCCATATGTGTGTGTGTAGTTCGATGTGTGTGTGAGTCTATGTATGTGTGTGTTTAAGTCGATGTGTGTGTAAGTCGATGTGTGTGTAAGTCGATGTGTGTGTGAGTCGCTGTGTAAGTCGATGTGTGTGTGTACATCGATGTGTGTGTGTAAGTCCATGTGTGTGTGTGTAGTTCGATGTGTGAGTCTATGGATGTGTGTAAGTCGATGTGTGTGTTTAAGTCGATGTGTGTGAGTCGCTGTGTGTATGTCGATATTTGTGTGTATAAGTCGATGTGTGTGTGTGTGTGAGTCGATGTGTGTTTGAGTCCATATGCGTGTGCGTGACAGTCGCTGTGTTTGTGTGTGTAAGCCCATGTGTGTGTGTGTGCGTGAGTCGATGTGTGTGTGTGTGAGTTGATGTGTGTAAGTTGATGTGTGTGTGCATCGATCTACGTGTGTTTCTGAGTTGATGTGTGTATGTGAAAGTCGATGTGTGTCAGTCGATGTGTGTGTGTGAGTCAATGTGTGTAAGTCGATGTGTGTGTGTGGCTCTATGTGCGTGCGTGAGTCCGGCAAAACAACCTCCTACCTCCTCGCGGTGCCGGACGGGCAACACTGTCGTGGGCAGTGCTGTGTGGGGAGGTCCAATGCCCATTGGCCTCTCCCCTCATGGCGTCTGTGACCACCACAGTGGCTAAACAGGGGCTCTGGACGGGTGCGAGGGGCTGGTAACGCCTCCACCTTCAATTAATTACCACTAAACAACGATATAAACATGAAACAAATAAGCTTGTGCCTGAGGCCCCGGGGGGACAGGCTTTTATGACGTCTCCTGGCCAAACCCCATTTGGCGGAGCCAGGAGATTGAATCTTCACCCTCGGGGCTCCTTCAGAAACAACGAAAAACCATTGCGGATGGCCACGTGGAATGTTCGAACGCTCACTGCGGAGGAGAGGCTGCCACTCCTTTGTCGGGAGCTGGACCGGTACCGCCTGGATCTCTGTGGCATTCAGGAGGTCCGGTGGACCGGTTCTGGCTCCTGCCACCATGAGGGGTGGACAGTCCTCCACTTGGGGCAGGAGACTGCCAAACAACAGGGTGTGGCTCTTCTTCTGAACAAAAGAATGAAGGGGGCGTGGGAGCGTGGCAGTGAGGTAGTGGGAAACTGTAAGCCCCAGGATACTTTGGGCTCGCCTTCCCATCAACCGGAGGCAAGGAGTGGTGGTCGTGGTTACTTATGCCCCCACCGAAGACGAACATCCGTGGAGGGATGCAGGCAAAGCCGATGAGTCAGATGCCTTCTATGACCTCCTGTCACAGGTGCTGACTAAAGTGGCCACTCGGGACAGAGTCATCTTGTTGGGTGACTTCAATGCCCGAGTTGGTCATGATGCTGGCACCTGGTCTGGAGTGATTGGAAGGCATGGGCCAGATCAGCTCAATAACAACGGTAGGAGGCTGCTAGATTTTTGTGCAGCCCATGGGCTTGTAATTACCAACACGCTCTTCCGGCATCGGCGCATCCACACATCATGGATGCATGCCGGGTCCAAGCAAGAACATCTGCTGGACTACATAGTGACGGACCAGTGGATGCGAGCCCATGTCCTTGACACCAGGACCTACCATGGAGCTGATCTGCCCTCTGACCATCGACTAGTCATCTGTAAGATGCGCCTGCCATTCTTCCACTCCGGTGGTGGGTGTACACCCAGGACCCCATTCCAACAAAAAGTGGCCTGGTCTCAGTTAGCTGATGAAAGTTGCAAGCGAGAATTTCATCATCGCTTGCAGCTGGGGTTGGCATCGTCCCCCACTCCTCCTGATGTCGAGGGTAAATGGGCGAGGTTTAGGACTGACTCATGCAGCTGAAATGGCTGCTTTGGGGATGCGGTCCAGACCTCCCCAGAAACCCTGGCTGACAGAGGAGGTGTTCAGGTTAATTGAGAAGAAGCGACAGGCCCACTCTCATCGGCTACAGCATCCCACATCAGAGAATGAGGTTTACCGCAGCCTTCGCTCGGAGGTTCGGAGAGCCGTAAGGCGCTGCAAGGATGGGTGGTGGTCGCGGGTTGCTGAGGAGATGGAGTCTGCCTCAGTGGCCCGCGATCACAAATCACTATTTAACTCCATCAAAAAAGTAACCTGCAGCACCACACCTATTACCATCATTAGGGGAAAAAACGGTGATCCAATCTCCGACACCCAGGAACAGGTTTGCAGATTTGCTGAGCATTTCTGTGAGGTCCTGGGGGAGGGAAAATCTCTCAGTCAGGAAAACATCATGGCACAAAGTGGGGATAACCCTGCTGAGGCTGCGGTGCCTCAAATAATGGAAGAGGTCACCCCCTGTGAGTGGCTGGCTGAGGTGCCATCTGTTGAGGAAGTACTGAAGGCGATCCGGAGTCTGAGACCAGGAAAGGCACCGGGCAGAGATGATCTCCCAAGCGAAATGCTGAGGGAGGGTGGCGTTTGTGCACAGACTGCCCTATATGACATCATAACAACAGTTTGGACCACTGGACGGGTTCCGCAGGATTGGAAGGATGCCCTGGTGGTCCCCCTCTTTAAGAAGGGGGGCCGCACAGACTGTAACAACTACAGGGGAATCTCACTCCTCAGTGTGCCGGAAAAGGTCCTGGCAAGGATTATTTAACATCGCCTTGCTAGGCACGCTGAGGAGAGGCTTGCGGAACCCCAATGCGGTTTCAGGAAAGGGCGGTCCTGCACAGATGCCATATTTTCTGTCCGTCTGCTACAGCAGAGGTGTAGGGAATTCCAAAAATATCTACATCTCTGCTTTATTGACCTGGTCAAGGCCTATAATACCATCAGTAGGCCTGGGCTCTGGGTTGTTCTTCGTGCTTTCGGAGTCCCTGACCCTCTGCTCACGATCATTAAGGACCTTCATGATGGTGAGCGGGCCTGGGTAAAACTACGTGGCCGGGAGTCGGAGCCTTTCCCTGTACACCTTGGGGTGCGACAGGGATGTCCTCTGGCTCCTACATTATTTAACATCTATTTCGACTGCGTAGTTCGTGAAGCCTTCAATAGCTGTACCGGGGGAATTTCCATTTGGTACAGATATAATGGGAGGCTGATCGACGCCCGGGTGCGATCAAGGGATGGCTCCCTATTGGTCAACCACGTTATGTATGCCGATGATTTGGTAATAGCTGCTCATTCAGAAGAGGAGTTGGAGACGCTGCTGCTGAGATTGGAGCGTGCCACTAAGAGGTGGAGCCTTACCATCAGCCCCACCAAAACTAAGCACCTGCCTGGGTATTTTGTACCATTGGACACTCCACCCCCACAACTCCCAATCGGTGATGGGGCAGTTGTGGAGAGAGTGGAGAGTTTCCCATACCTGGGCAGTGTGCTTATGACCGGCTCCAGTTTATCAGCAGAGGTCTCACTCCGAATCAGTCGAGCGGCAATATCTTTTCATTGGTTGCGTAACGCTGTGTGGAAGCTACCTGGTCTGTCGCTCCGCACGAAGCTTCAGGTCTTCTCGGCCACGGTCATTCCCTCCCTTCTCTACGCTTGCGAAACGTGGACCCCCCTAATGGAGCATCTTCGCCGGTTGGAAACATTTAGGCTGGCCTGCCTACAATCCATCCTGGGTTTAACCAGGCTGGATTGTGTGAGGAGCTCACAAATCCTTGAAAGATCTGGGCAAAGTCCCATCGGTGATCTCCTCCGGCAGGCAAGGCTGCGTTGGCTGGGTCATGTAGCCGGCATGCCCAGCTACCGCATGCCTAAACAGCTTTTGTTCGGCCGGATCGAGGGGGCTAAATGGGCGCGGCACGGGCTAGAGAGGAGATGGAGTGATGTGGTGCAGGAGGACTGGTACCAGCAGTGTCAAGATCGGCCTTTTTGGAGGAGGCTCGTGAAGGACGCTACTGGGCAGTTGGAGGCAGTCGCCCTCCAGCAACAACGGAGGAAGGAAGAGCGACGCTCACAACAACGAGCGGAGCGCCGGGTGGCTAAAGCACAGCAAGTTGGCACAGTAGGGGGCACAGGTGGTGCATCAGCCAGTCATCTCGGTCAGTCGACCCGTGGCACCTGGGTCTGCCCCGTGACCTCCTGCCAGCGGGCGTTCGACACTTCACGTGGCCTCAAGGTGCACTTGGCCTGGCACAAGCGTCGTGGTGATGTCACCGCCACTTAGTGGCGAATGGCTGTTGTTGTTGTTGTGAGTCAATGTGTGTGTGCGTGAGTCTATGTGCGTCAGTCGATGTGTGTGTGTGTGTACGTCGATGTGTGTGTGTAAGTCCATATGTGCGTGTGTGTTGTTGGATGTGTGTGAGTCGATGTATGTGTGTTTAAGTTGATGCATGTGTAAGTCGATGTGTGTGTGAGTCGCTGTGTGTGTGTGTGAGTCACTGTGTGTGTACGTCGATATGTGTGTGTGTAAGTCGATGCGTGTGAGTATGTGTGTGTTTGAGTCCATGTGTGTGTAAGTCGATGTGCTTGTGTGTGGGTCGATGTCTTTGTGTGTAAGTCGATGCGTGTGTGTGCCTTTTTCGCCCGGGCAGCGCCGGGTGCTTCCCGCGAGTAATATGTAATTATTGACCCAGGAAAGCCATACAGAATCCAAACACTTTGGTGGTAATGTGTTTTACTTTCATACCGTATCTTGCACAGTTTAGATAGTCTCAGGCTGGTTGAGAAATATATCTGGGTGGTTTGCTGTGGAAAAGCTGGCGACCTGGCTAGACCCACAAGGCTGAACAATCATTGCGTGATCGCTAACGGTGCCATCGTGCAAATCTCTCCCAATGTACCAATGGAACTACAAGAGCAAAGTCCATGTCCACTCAATTGGCAAATGTAGGGCAGTTTAAGAGCCACAACACAGTTAAATACTAGTTTTATAGGTAGACGTTCATAACCAATTTTCATGGTTTATAATTAGTTTATTTTGGGTTAAATGGTCATGTAGGTATTGTCAATGTTAACCATAAACCTCCGCCCGACAGATCCAATCATATCAAGTTGTCACGTGGGGGCGAATATGCTGAGTGGTTTGGTTGACCAACAAAACTAGAAAAGCCCAAGCAGAATGCTGACAATGCTTATATGACATTTTGCTGGAGATTACACCCAGCATCATCAAGCGTTTAACAAAAGCTCATACTCTTGCATAAAAGAGCTTCCTGATGTGGGTCTTCAAAAGCTGAGCTGTTATTAAATGCCTGATGATGCTGGCTATAATCTCCAGCTAAAGGTCGAATACAAATTGTAAACATTTTACTTTTTAATGTGGCACATTAGGAATGGATCACTCTTTTAAGTATGTCCTTGTGCAGCAAGGGAGTAAAGTGTGGTTCTGTGAAAGTCCTGATGGGCTGTGCAGTGCATCAATGCATGTATGTACAGCAGCATGTGATGACTGAGTCGGGCCTGTAAGGTGGCTGGCAGGGTTATTGAATGACCACGCGGATATACCAGTCACATGGTTAATGGCGACTCGGGCGCAAGGCTGGTTGTAACACACGTGTTGTTGCATTTTACAGGTAAAGGACCCAAATGTTGTTTTTGATCGTTATATAAATGTTCTAGACTTGTTCTAGACTTGTTCTAGACTTTAAGCCTTTGCTTTGAATTGTTCGTTTGTGATATATGCAATTAGAGGCGTTTTAGCACTGTGCATTGTAAAGGGATGACGCACTGTAATTAGTTACTGTCATTGTAATTCTCTAACTCTAATACTGTTTAGTCTATAACCATGCCCATGTACCCAGAGTATGACTACTTGCAATGCTATTGAGAATAGAACACATGTAAAGTAGTAAGCTGTACAACGGTGAGATACAGTACGTATACTGTACACATACAGTACATATAATGGGTGTAATATACCGATATAAGTGGATGGTATAGATAGACATACAGCTTAGGATTAAAGTAATAGTCGAATAGTGATGTGCAAATGCGATTGTCAAAGACAAGGATGGTTTATCAGTAGTAGAATTGGGTTTAAGAGAAAGGGTTAATGAATAACCGTACGTGTAAACCAGTCACATGGTTAATGGCGACTCGGGCGCAAGGCTGGTTGTAACACACGTGTTGTTGCATTTTACAGAGTGACGGTGCTGTTCTTCCCAAGATTAATATTAACCATAATAAATAAATGTGCTTGCCCTCGATTTGGAGCACCTGCCCACGTCCTTCATTTCGAGTGTGCAACATTAACATTCCTCCAGTTTTGCTGATAAACCAAATCGATTGGCACATTTCCACCCAAGTTACAACATAATTTGATTGGCTCTCCAGTGGTGGAGGGCTATATTAAAAAATGTACATACCAATACGATCTAACCCAAAATAAACTAATTATGAATCATGGTTAAACACAATACAGTATAATAAAACTGGCACTGTTTAAGGAAAGAAAAAAAATAATAATAACACTAGTATTAAAGTGTATATAGATATGTTCACAATATTGATTAATGTACTGGAAGAGGTATAAATGGCAGTAAAACTTTGTCCGGCTTTAGTCTCTGGACAAGGTGGCAGCCCTGGTCCACCCCAACCAGCAGGAGCCAACGCGGCGTCTGCAAGGCGGCAGAGGGACGGTGACTGCTGCTACCTCTGCAGGAAGCCTGCGAGGATGGGCAGCACGTGCTTGCGGGTAGCAGAGTGTGTGCCTTGCTGGAAGCTGGACACCACGGGGCACCTGCTCTCCATCGCACGCAGCTGCAAGTCGGGGCTATCGGCCGCCTGCAATGCCCCACAGATCTACACGAAGAAAAACCATGAGTCGGTGAGAGCGAAACATCATAACATATATATGAAGTTTAATCTATGTACAACTAGAGTGCATTATATATGAACCAGCGATGTATACCATCTAATTATGTATTTGATTTGTTTGGGTACGATGTTCATTGCATAAATGCATACTGTGTATGTTATAGATTTAACACATTAATAGATGTGTCAGTATGTGTTTGCCAAGTATGTGTGAACGGATACCATGGACACCCCTGAAAATGAAATGTTCCATCTCAAAGAGAAATTTCAGATGAAATATGTACACATATATTTCCCAACCAGGTGAGAACGAGAGCGACCAAGACCTTGACTCAGTCGTAAGAGTGACATTGGTCATCAAAATAAATCAAGCAAATATCACACAGGTCACTTGGCAAATGAGAAGATCCCAACCTCGCAAGTTCCCAACTGGTTAGACTAACTCCACTTGAGACTACATTTGAATCTGCGGTTACCCAGACACACCTGCGCCTGCAGTGCTCCACAGCAGCTGTACACAGCCACCTGTCGAGAGGGCACGGGGCTCCCCTCCGGGAAGGAGACCGCCATGAGCACGAGTGCAGCGTAGCCATCAGCCGGACCCCGGGCCTGACAGAAAGCGCGCAAGTCTTCCTCCAGTTGCGGTCGCCCCAGGTATTCCTGTCGCAGAAGAGAAACCGACGGTTGGGAGAGGGGGCTCAGCTTTGGGAGGTGGGGGAAGTCCTATTCTCAATTAGAATGAAAAATGATTGCACCCGTTGCATAGCTTCCGTCTCGCAGTGCGCTCACCTACACGTAGCTCAATCTATTACTTGGCTGGTTATTAATCCTGGGCCAGGTGACTTTCCTGTGTGTCACTGTGCTGGCTGTGGGTCGTTTGTATCCCACTCCTGCCATAAATTTTCATTAAAGTCACCGGTAATCGACCGCCAACGGTGCTATTCAACACCGTGTGTGCATACGTGCGTTGTGTGCGTGTGACCGAATGAACGAACTCGTTTTATGTTTTGAAATTGAAGTGAAGCGAATAACATCAGCTGTCTGGCATACTGTGAACATTTCACAGGCCCAGTGCATTTCACAAATAAACTCAAAGAGCTGTCCTCTTCAAATTGCTATTAAAGTGGTGTTCAACATCTGTTTGCAGACCTAAGCCTGTGGTGGAAATTCTGCATTTTATGGTGTGGGCGAGTCTATCCACAGGACAACCACTGTTGATTTCCCCACAAAGTGGTACTCATTCTATCACTCTGAGAGGGATGAGGGGCTGACTTATCCCCCAACCAGTATTTGAACCCACGACCTCCTGCATACCAGGCGAGGGAATTAACATCTTAGCACCGCGGCGGCGACGACACATTCAAACACACGTGCGGCTGACGACGGCACAAGCGTGGTTCACAGGTGTCCCGCATGCAGGCGATGTCAGCGGGGTGATGCACATTCATACAATTACAAGGGCTAGGTGTGACCCAGGTTTGACCCAGACAGTCCCTTGGGTTGCCAGTCAGTCCAGGACTTGGCACCTGCGTTCAGGTGCCAAAAGTTGATTTGTACCGTGACGGTATTGTGTTGTACTTTTCTACAGTATTCTTTACAATTTAGAAAGACCCAGCTGGCTGAGAAATATATCTGGGTTTGCTCTGTGGAAAAACTGGTGACCTGACCCACAAGGCTGAACAATCATTGCGTGATCACTCACCCCACCATCGTGCAAATGTCCTCCCCAAATGTACCAATGCAAGAACACTCATTTGGCAAATCCTGGGCAGTTTCAAAGCCACAAGACAGTTAACATTGTATATTAAAATGTAATACTGTTTTAGTTAATATATATAACGACACCACTATTAAATCGTGAGTTGATATGTTTGCAATATTGACTTATTTACTGGAAAGAAATAAGAAATAACTGTAATAAAACAATGCTCAACTTTCACATCAAGAGCCTAAATGCTCCAATTAAGCAGCATAACAGTACAATGATCAACGTGACTCCACGTCTCCGCAGCACCGAGTGCTCGTCTGGTATTAAAGAAACTTATTGTGAATCGGAGAGATGCACAGCATATGCTCGTTCCTACAGCGGAGACTCACAGCATGCATATGTAGAATGAGACGATGACAAACTACTTCAAGGAAGTTAAAATCTCGTTATTAATTTAATTTGACTCAATTTCTTAAATCCTCAGGAACCCAATTTGTCATTTTTACTGTAGCGCAACTTTCATTTTAACTGACGATATTAAAACCTTTCCCGGCATAGCATCATTCTGAATTTAATGGAGCCCATTAAAGTTGATTAGTAGGCCGAGCAGAAGAGGCTGGGTGAGCACAGTATCAGGCCAGCTGGGTCGCAGCAGCTACCAATGAATCACCTCCGCCCAAACCCAACAACACCCATCACCGCACCCCCACCGTACCCCCACCATACCCTCACCAACACCCCTACCCCTCAAATCAAAGCCAGCAAACTGTCAAAAGCAAACCGAGGATCTAAAACATCACTCATTCCCATCCACCACCAATAACACAGTCACTCCCATCCACCACCACCGCCCCTATTTAACATAACACTCACTCCCATCCACCACCAATAACACAATACTCCTCCAACCTAGCATCGCCACCACTATCTTAGTGTAATGCGGGCGCGGGCGACCTCCCGGATGTGACGTCACGGAGAGGTGGAGTTAGGTGACGTGGGAGGAAAGGTTAAGGTTCTTAAGGGAGGAGACCGGAAGAGGAAGGCAGAACGAGTGGGACTGGACCAGAGTAAGGCCACGTGGGCAAAGCCAAGGGGTGGCAGCGGCGGCCAGCGGTGGCCAGCTAAGGGAGCAGCCAGCGGAGCTGCGAGAGAAGACAGCGGTGGGGCGGCTGGAGAGAAGGCGGACGAGGAGCTGCGGGGAACACAGCCGGCGAGGCTGTGTGTGAGGGAGAGGCTACGAGAGCGACGAGAGGAGAGAGAGGCTGAGAGAACGACGAGGGGAGAAACTGCAGGAGAGCAGTATCAGTGTCAGTATAGAGTCTTATAGAAGGACAGCCGTGCGGGTTAAGAGAGAAGAACCGAATAAAGGACACCAAGCCAGACATCGTGGTCGAGTCCTTTATTACATTGGTGTCGGAAGTGCAACGGCATGTCGAAACAAGTGAGAAAGAAAAATGTTCCAGCGCCGGCATCGGCTTCTTCGTCGGAAGACGAAGACTTCCCTCCAAACATGGATCCTGCCAGGGTGGTGGAGGAGAGCCCTGCTGAAACGAGTGCGGGGACGGGAGTGGAAGATGTAGCCACAGTGTCAGGGCCGCCGACACCATCAGACGCTGATCGGCGATGGCTGCAGGTGGCTGAGCAACTGGAGACTCTCAAGGACGCCCTGGGCCAATTGTGTCATCTCGTCACCCCAAGCACGGCGACGGAGAGAGCGGAGAGTGCTCCACAGGCCGCCACGGGTTCTTCACTCCCGGCGCCATGGGCCACGCGGCAGGAGGCCGCCATCTTGCGCGTGCCGCGGCGGGAATCCGCCATCTTGACCACGCCGCGATTCGACGCCATTTTGAATTTGCCTCCGGAGGAACCATCGGCGGAGGGCGGAGTGAAGCGAAGTCGGAGTCGCCATCTCACCACGGTCAAGGAATTCGCCATTGGGGGCGACTGGAGCGCTTTCGCCTGCAGATTTTTAGCGGCGGTCCGTTCTGCGAGATGGACCGATGCTGAGGCCTTGGAAGTGTTGCCGACTCTTCTGGACGACGAATCTGTTCGTTTTTTTCGCTCCATTAAGGCCGAGAAGAAGAGGACATTATATGGAGTTTTTCAAGAAATGGCCGACGCCTACGAGCCACCTGACGACGCGCATCGGCGATTCGCTCAACGACAACGAGCGCCCGAGGAGTCGCCTGTGGCGTACAGGGGTGCAGTGCTTGATTTGGCTATGGCCGCGTATCCAGATACAACACCTGACCTGCTCGAGCCTCTCATCTTGGGCAAGATGCTCGAGCTGTCGCGGGATCTTGGGATTCCCATGCCGGTGTGCGGGCATGAGAAGCTCACCTCCCGGGCGGCGGCGAAATGTCTGGATGCACAATTCAACCTACGACGATGGAAACAGGTCACGGCGTGGACAGGGGGGCCCGACGCGGAGGGTGGCGCTCTGGGTTGGGACCCTACGAAGTCGGTATACGTGCCGGATGAGCGGGGCCCTCAGGAGCTGACGGCCGCCTCGGTGCCATGGTCAGGCCGCGGTGGACCGGCCTCTCGTGCTGCACCGCCGATACGCGGGCGGCGCGATGCAAGGCCTGCGCTTCGGCGCAACGACGCCGATTGCTTCCGCTGCGGACGGAAGGGCCACTACGCGAAGGACTGCTGGGCCCGCATCCCGGGTCCGCCACAACAGGAGGCCTCATTACCGGCCAAGCCGCCCAAGGATCCACCGAAACAGGCAAGTCGGCACGCACCAGACACCCGGCAAGGCTTTACACCTCACCCATCACCTTCGTTGTGCGGTCATAGTGTTGTTGTTAAAGAGGGACCTTCGACGGGGCCTTGTCGCTCTGTGACGCAGTGGCGCAAATTGGCACGGAGGGTTGTTGCGGCCGCTACGGGTTCGTCCACCGTGCCGGGGTCTATACAAGGGGTGGACGTGCGCATTTTGGTCGATTCCGGGGCGTCCGCGACTATTATTTCGGATGTCATTTTTCATCTGTTAGGCATCCCACCCGGGGCCGTGCGTCCGGTTTACGGGTCGTGCGTCGCTGCGAACGGGGGTAGTATGGGCATCGTGGGCCAGGTGGACGCTAAAATATCTATTGGGGATGTGTCGGCCTCGGGCGTTGTGTTGATTTCAAGATCCTTGGCAGTTCCCTGTTTATTGGGCACTGATTTTCTGGCTAAGATGCCTATTTTGATCAAAATTAATGAGAATTGTATTGAACTGCCGGGTGGCCGTCAAATTTCGTTTCTGCCGTCGCCCTGGGGGCGACCTGCTTCGGCCGTACAAGTGCAGGCGCTATCCGTGGCATCTGTTGATATTCCACCTGGTTCACAGATGCTTATTCCCCTGCGGTATCGGAAGCCCCTGCCTGGTCGGCTGGGAGCGGTTGGGATCTTGTTGTCACCTTCAGCCTCGATAACGGCCGGATCGGCGCTGGTCGGAGCGCAGACCATCGTCCGGCCAGATCAATTACCGTTTTTGCAGGTGCTCAATGCGGGTACGGAAAATGTCTGTGTCCCAGCCGGCACGGTTGTGGCACATGCCACCACGGCATTTACGGCTCACGATTGTTCGCATAGCCAGGGAGTGGTTGCTGGTGTTTCCGAGCCTGTGGCTTCGGATGACCGCTGGATTGCTAGCTTATGTGACGGAAATTCTTCCCTGTCTGTGGATCAACGGGGTGCGCTTCATAAATTGTTATTGACGTATTCCGATGTGTTCAGCTCCAATGATTTGGATTTGGGACGCACCTCATTGCTTCACCATCACATTGCTACAGGCGACGCTGCCCCTATTCGGTTGAATTCGCACCGAATGAGTCCGGCCGAGCGAGAACACGTTCGGGGGGCAGTGGAGGATATGTTGGCTGCGGATATTATATCGCCGTCGAACAGCCCATGGGGCGCGCCTGTGGTTTTGGTTAAGAAAAAGGATGGCAAATTGCGATTCTGT